CCCCCCCCCCCCCCCCCCCCCCCCGGCCAGGACAGGAGTTGATGAATCGTTTCGCGTAATTTTGAAACAGGGAATGGTTTCTTATGACCGACTGCCATTATTGTGCTATCACTGAGCTAGCGATTCCACTGACCCACTTTTTGACATCGTGATTCAGTAAATTTCAAAAAATGATAAAATAAAAACCTTTCATGAGAATCGAGTCTTTTAATTACTACTACCACGGAATTAGATTAGATTGTTATTTAAGTCCGTGCTACTACTTAAAAGTCTAATTCTTTTTAACAAAACGTGAACAGCTTGTGGTATAAAATGGCAGTATATATCTGCATGGTTATATATATATAAACAAATCAGATATCTTAATTGAATGCGTCCTGCCAAACAATAAATCTCTGAAAAACTCAATTATATTATGGCTATTTGCCATCGTCGGCACATGAAGAATAAACGTTAACGTTCAAGATATATCAACACATTGAAAAGAAGTTGAAGAGTCCTCCCAAACTGTACAAAACACGTATATTGTCTAGTAAATACGTAGTAAAACGGCCCACGTGCCCAAACTTCATTCAATTGATTGGTTGAATCGGATATGCATTATGGGAGTAATGTTGTCACGTGTGTTTCTGCTTGTTGCCATAGTGATCTCCTTTACATGCACAGGGAGCTTCGAGCCCTGTGAGTTTCCCGTCTGCCGGAGACGATCGGATCACCACACTTTAAAATCAACACCATATCCATACTGTCAGCAGGTAATCATTAATTTACATAGCACTGACATCATAATTATGAGATAAATATTTAACTGTGTGTTTTACGAAATAACTTAATTGAGAAATGGGTGTGGTGTTTCTCTTATCCCGATCGTCGTTTTATAAATACACATCTATCAGTTGTGTTTTCCTAGATTTATCGTTCCTGTATGAAAATAGGAGATAGTTTTTCATCATGGTATCAAACAGTTATACATCAGATAACATTTACGGATATATAGTCAGAAAAGAATTACTAATGATAATAAAAGCGAAACAGAAAGTAAATAGTTAGACTAGGCATTTGAACGAAAATAAATTGAAATATATATTTTTTCTTCAATGTAAAATCGTCTAGAAATCTTTGAAATAGAGTATGTCTTTGGTAAAAGTAAATATATGCATTAATTGAAAAAAAATACATAAGAGAAAAAAAAAACACTTAAAGGGAGATAAACCGTACGGGAATCACTTCTTCTATGGCAATCGGGAACCGTCGGCACTTTCCGTAAATACCTCGGGAGTAACTAGAGGCATTCGGCACACCTCGGATGAAAGGTACCGGAATCGGCCGAGGTTTGCCGAATGTAACTAGAGGTTGCCGCCATATTGTTATCTCATTACCATATCGGGACCTACATTGCGAGCAGTGTCGTTCAACCAGACTCTTGTTGCCTGCGCAAGCTACGTCGAATAGAGAGTCTGGTCAAACCCAGTGCTTTCGTTTTGTGACATCATAACGAGGCTTACCGAGATTCTGGTAAATGTTTTCATTGGTCAAAGGTTGACACACCCTTTTTTAACTTTTGAGTAGCCCAAAATTACATTGAATATTTTAATTCATTAAAAAATTACCTGTATATGCATTCCTGAAGTATCCATGTTTTCACTACTAACGAGAAAAATGTAAGAAAATGCTTCAAAAAGAATACTTTCATGTATTTTCATTGAATATTTTACAATAATTCATGAAGCTAACAAGGCTATTGATACAAGTCAAGCCAGACTACCTGAGTGAGAACTTGAAGGTGTTTTTAGTGGTGTACAGGTAAAATCTCACATGCTTTGCATGCTTTTTTTCTAACTTTGGTCAGCCTTGTTGGCTTTGTGCTTACTTCTTCTTCCTTCTTGCGTCTGCATGGACTTGGTCCGCCCAAGTACGGGAGAAGACTCCTGTAATAGGAGTGTAAAACGTCCCGGAACTGTGCGCTATGTACAATTTGGAATGGACTTAGAATTTTATATATTAAGATATGTTACTGTCATATAATATGTGAATACATTAATAAAATAAAAACATTGAAGATTAACAACATTTTAACATATATACAATTTGCACAGTGCATGGCCTTGTGGATTAGTATAGTGATCCCTTCAATAGTTAAAGTGGAGATGACACTTTTGAAGGATTCACGGGAAAGAGGTCATGCACACAGATTCAGGTAGGGTATTCCAGTCTGTTATAGTTTTGGGATAGAAGGAATTTTTATAAAAATCTTGAGTAGTGGAAATTTGTTTAAATTTGTGTTTATATACCTCAGTACGACTGTCTGATTTGACCATTTATATGTCTTTCGGTACTTCGACCAACCCCCAATTAAATGTATAGAATGCAACAAGTCTGGCTTTAGTTCTTCTATTTTGTAAACTGTCCCAGTTTAAGGATTTTATCATATTGGAAACTGCACCAGGAGTACGATCTGAATAATCATTATATACATATCTAGCTGCCTTCTGCTGAATCTGCTCAACCTGAGTGATTTGATGATTTTTGTATGGATCCCAAACAGGTGAGGAGTATTCCATGACTGGGCGCACTAGTGATGTGTACGTAAGGGTTTTAACCTTACGTGTGCAGGTTTTTATATTTCTACGCAAAAAAACAGGAGTTTTATTGGCTTAATTTGCATGTAACGTTATTGATGTGTGGTCCCCAATCAAGATCATTGCTAATGGTTACTCCCAGATATTTACTTTCTTTTACAAACTCTAATGTATGGTTATGTAGTTTATAATCAAAAGAAATTGTTTTTTTTTTTTTTAGATATATGGATGACATAGGATTTTTTCCGGATTGAAATTCATTTGCCAATCTTTTTCCCATTGTTCAAGGTTGGATAAATCATTTTGGAGTGATGTTCCATCTGATTGGTTATTGATATCTCTATACAATAGACAATCGTCTGCAAAAAGCCTAACTTTACAGTTAACATGGTCTGGTAGGTCATTTATAAAAAGTAAAAATAAGGTTGGGCCTAAAACTGCTTAGTTATGATTTATTCAATGGAAATATATGGCATTATTCTGGAGATTTGACACATTTTCTTACATTGTTCTCGATAAAAGTGAATACACAGGTACTTCAGGAATACATGTATAGGTAATTTTTTCCATTAATTTCATTATTTATTGAAATGTGTTTAATAGCGTTGACATAACGTCCGGAAACGAAAGTAAAAACACTGCCCTCTGGTGATGGTAATTTTAAAGTACTGTGTTTGACCAGACTAATTGAATTACAAGTGATCAAGCGTCTGGTTGAATGAGACTACATTGCAAGGAGACCCACTTTTCTACAAACAAAGATGGCTGCCTCCATGAGCTAACATGTGAAAGGGATGGATTCTGAGTAAATCATTAGCGTTTATGAGTTTAAGATGTGCGTGTGTTTATTCAAATTTNAAATATATCAGGTGACCGTTAAGGCCCATGGGCCTCTTGTTTCTGATGTACTATATTGATGTTATTTAGATGCGGCATTATATGAAATAAGCTCATGGAGTTATGTTGATAATCACACAGGCTTCAACTTCAACAGGATACTCCAAAACGTTCAATATACTGAACATTATTTAGAGGCTCCTGTTTGAAATTCTGAATGTATATAAACAATAGTGATATATATATGATATCTATAACCACGGACTTAGATCCGTGCTATGACAGAGGTAGTACTGGATCTATTTTTAGAGTTCTTACTCTGTGTTTTATATAAAGTAGTGTTGTTAAACTTCTTGCTTTATTGTCCGAGTTCCAAACACCTATAATACTCATAAGTCAGGCCAAATAAAAGTATGTTTCCTAGCCCATTATATTTTGACTGCTGGTAGGTTATCAAAAGATAATTTTTTTACAAACATTTTAAGTCATTATCATGAACAATTTGGATAAATGTAAGTAATTTGTAGGAAATTTTAAGTTTAAACATTTTTAAATTATCAGTATTTTCTTGGAATGCACTGATTCTGAATCAGTGTAAACATGATTTTTTTAACCCAAAATTACGGTAAACCCCTGCAAATTCTTTTTTTTAAAAAACCTGTCTTAAATTAAATATCACCTACTCGGTAACAGAAATACTCAAATTTTATCATAGGTCATTCAGGGTGATTTTTCACAATATTTACACATGTGCTGAGTATAAACATATACATGAAATGCTAACTTTTGTTGTGTAGACACTGATTTGTAAATGGCTAAAACTATAGTCTCATACCAAATTCATTTTTTTATTCTTGAACAATTATGAAGCCCACATACTCCACTTCATTTGAGTGCTGATTGTTTTTAAAAAATTTGATAATTTAATATTTCAGGGATTATTCATTGTACAAAACAATCACCCATGGCCAACGAACGCTACTGTACACTGCCACCTAATATCATTAAAATATCACAAAAGTGTCATCATACAAACACACACACAATGAAATCAGTTACAGTAATGTTGAAAATTTGAAGAACAAATCACTGTATAATATATTTTGAGTGTATGTGTGTAGAATTCTACTGTTCTCTATCTCCTAGGCTCATCAATCTCCTCCATTGGGGTGCAGCAGCTTTAATTGAAGATGGCCACAAACTATCCTTCCAGTAGTGAAACCACAAACTTTGCCCGACTGTCCCGACTAGTTATCGACATCTGTTCAGACCTTCTCAGATCAGTGCTGAAAGTTACACTACCACCTCCAGGACTTACAGCCATTCTACAGAGTCAGAGAGTTCACCTTTACAAAAATCTTGAACGTCATCAGCAACAGATTTTATATCCCTCAGGTGGAGTGTTTACAGGTGCCCTTGGGGACTTGGACTTTACTCTTCTGTACAGACTGATTCGAAATATCCAGGGTATCAACATACTACCACATCAGAAAGGTTGGGGGAGGACACCAGACAATGCAGACAGGTCCCTTTCAGCTAATATTGATCGGTTGAGAGTCCAGAGGAATGAAGCTTACGGACATCTTCCCACAGCTTCACTGTCTGATGCAGACTTTAACGGTAGGTGGGCCATCATCCGTCAGAGTGTCCTTGAAATAGAAACGGGCACTCTTACAGGAGATGTGTTTATAACAGCTGTAGACGCTCTACTGACCATGAGCATGGACCCTGATACAGAGAAGAGTTATATACAGGAACTTGAGAAACAATACAATGCTGAATTGGAGGTCAAGGCCATTGTACAGGAGATAAAAGGTCAGTTATTTACTTAGCACTTGATTATTTAATAAGTTCTCATTAATGAAATATAGTATTATTGGATTGGCAGCATGACCTTTGGGTCTTGGCCAATGTATAGTCAACTGCCTATATTTTTAGCTCGCCTATTAGAAGAATGGGGGGGGGGGGGGGGGGGCGGGGGGGGGGGGGGGGCTCAGTGTCCCTCTTCTGGTGAAAGTTTTTGGATAAGTTTTTTCCAGATAGTATTGGATCATCACACTCCATAGTAATACTGTTGTCAATTATAAGGTTGAGATATTTATATGGAGTGTAAGCAATGTGCTTAACCAGATTTTCATATGTAATATAATAGCAGCCTACAAATATATCAAATATACAAAGGGATGGAGATCCAACGACCTCTCTTGGTATGTTCAGCGAGGTTCAGCATACCCCAGTTGATGGATTTCTATGGAATTCACTAGTCCGGCATAAGAGTAAAGAAGAGATGGCCAGACAACATCAAATGGGGAGACTCTGCAACATGTTAATTGATTAAAGTTACTGAGTCTCCCCATTTCACGTTGTCTGGTCATCTCTTCTTTTGAAATGTACAACATGTTTAGGTACAGCAAAACCTCATTATATTGCCAGAGGTCAGAATAAAGACCTCTATTTCCCAAGCTGGACTGCTCGTTGCGAATGAATATCCTCTTGTATATTGGTTTCCGTGCCCTTAAGAAGTGACTGTGATTTCGTACTCGTATCAGTAGAAACTGCTGAAATTACTGAAGACTGTCACAGGCATGTGTACAATCTACTCATGGAAATAAAAAACTAGAAACTTAAAACTCCAGGTTTAGAAAACTTATGCCATGGTGCGGCGTCCATTCTCTGTCCATCCGCCTCCATTGCCCGTCACCCGACGTCTGTCGTCCGGCTTCCGTCATCAAGGTTTTACTTAAAACGACTTCTTAAATAAACAATAGGCCATGGGTAATGATATTTGGCCAGAAGCATACTGGGATGAAGGGATACCATGTTTGTTCAAATGAATGACCTTCACCCATATTCAAAGTCACAAAGGTCAAATATGTTAAAATCTTTAAACAACTTCTTCTGAATAACTTAAAGGTAATGGGTGATGATATTTGGCCAGTAGCATGCTGGTATAAAGGGCTACCAAGTTTGTCACAATTTTTGACTTGCATATATTTAAACTTAAATGTATATGTCTTGCAGTTAAACAGGGGGACATGGCAACAGACATCAGTGATGTTGCCACCAGACAGGGAGCCATGGCAACCAACATAAGTGATGTTGCCACCAGACATGGAGCCATGGCAACCAACATAAGTGATGTTGCCACCAGACAGGGAGCCATGGCAACCAACATAAGTGATGTTGCCACCAGACAGGGAGCCATGGCAACCAACATAAGTGATGTTGCCACCAGACAGGGAGCCATGGCAACCAACATAAGTGATGTTGCCACCAGACAGGGAGCCATGGCAACCAACATAAGTGATGTTGCCACCAGACAGGGAGCCATGGCAACCAACATAAGTGATGTTGCCACCAGACAGGGAGCCATGGCAACCAACATAAGTGATGTTGCCACTAGACAGGGAGCCATGGCAACCAACATAAGTGATGTTGCCACCAGACAGGGAGCCATGGCAACAGACATCAGTGATGTTGCTACCAGACAGGGAGCCATGGCAACAAACATCAGTGATGTTGCTACCAGACAGGGTATCATAAAGGGTAAGATCTAAATATATGAATAAAAACTAGTAAAGCTACCTGTCTGACCAATGTTTTGTTCAGGGATTTCCCTCGACTAGCCCATGCGCATAGCACACCATTTCTTTGTAAACAAAATGACTGGTCGTGTGAAGTAAGCGAAAGAAAGGGTTTGGTTCGTGTCGGCAACGAGGTGAAAAGTTGCCAAATGGTCAAAAGATAGCGCAAGTAGTACGTTACGGAATCATTATAACAGGTGGGAAGTATTCAAAGGAGAAAATAACTGCCCTAGCAGTTAGTACACTGCATGTATTCTTCCGGATAGCCGGTTAAGCTGAAATGGAATTGACAGAAATGCTAGCGCTGTTTATGTTATGAATACATATCTAAAACTATTAACTAGCTCGCTAGTATCTTTGTCCGAGTTTGAACACAGATCAACTTAGTTTAATATGTTAATGGGCATGTATCGGAGAGAGTTTACTTTGTGTTTCTATAATTATGCTGTGGTTTAGGCGAAAGGAAGGGTAAGTGACTGGTTAGTTTGATTTTGCCATGAGGCCCTCCAAGGGATAACTTGTGATGGCCACAGCGTATTCTGTTCTCTCCTCTGTCGGTACTCGGGGTCAAATGAGGATATGTGCGCTATTAGATTTACATAATTTATAATATTACCGGGTTCAGCAAAATGGTATGATTTAATTATGTTGCTGAATTAAACAATTTTTGTTTGTTTTTACATACAAGATTTAAATAAGAACAAATATGAATACCCGGCCTCCTCTGGCGCGACGACGCAATATATAAAAAGAATCGCTCTTTGTCAGAAAGCTACATTATCTCAGCTAGATGTCAAAATGACGAACCAGGATGAATAACTGAGGAAGGAGAACCTACTTCTAGTAAATAGGATCGCATAACATTTGTTTTTTAAATCGCAATTTTTCAGCAGTTCATGCATTCTTTCATATGATGTTGACTTAGAATGTATGATCATATAACAACCTTTTCTCTATAAAGAATTAATTTTCGACTTCAGATAGAATCGGAATACATATTGAAAACAGGGGGGAAACATTTGTTTACGTTGTAAAAATGATGTGTGCTGCTGATAACTACGGCTTCTGTTTCGGACAAAAAAATAATGATTAAAGAAAAGTTGTCTCAACATAAAAAGGGTCCATTTACCAGAATGCTTTAATCTATGTAAAGTATTGAAAAAATATAATTATCAAGTATCTCAACACGTTCCATATCTGACACATATTCTACATGTACACGTAGTGGTATTGCCATACAGTTTATTATGTGTGATGGCTAATATGACTTACTAAGTGTTAGCGTATGGAGACAGTGAAAGTGGGAAAGAGAGAATACATAAATTTATATGCATGGTCTAGAAAAAAAGTTTGGCCAAAGACATTGAGCTGTACAATTTAATAAAATAATTCACAAACGTTTCTCTTTTTTATGCGCGTGTAGTTGGTCATTGTAAAAACATTTGAAAAAGGATATTCGTCTCGTGAATATTCCTGATTACAGAAAGGTTTGTCCCATGGTTGAGGGAAGGTGTTTAGCCCCGTAACATCTGTACCGGTCACATTCAGGTACTAAATTCAATATATATTTATATATATCTACTTTATGTTTATGCCTATTATCATTATTGACATTTAATTGTAAATGTATGACGGGAGAAGGCTGTGATAAATTATAAAAACTTGTGCCCTATCCCTTGTTCAATTATATTGGCAAAAAATATANAATCGCTCTTTGTCAGAAAGCTACATTATCTCAGCTAGATGTCAAAATGACGAACCAGGATGAATAACTGAGGAAGGAGAACCTACTTCTAGTAAATAGGATCGCATAACATTTGTTTTTTAAATCGCAATTTTTCAGCAGTTCATGCATTCTTTCATATGATGTTGACTTAGAATGTATGATCATATAACAACCTTTTCTCTATAAAGAATTAATTTTCGACTTCAGATAGAATCGGAATACATATTGAAAACAGGGGGGAAACATTTGTTTACGTTGTAAAAATGATGTGTGCTGCTGATAACTACGGCTTCTGTTTCGGACAAAAAAATAATGATTAAAGAAAAGTTGTCTCAACATAAAAAGGGTCCATTTACCAGAATGCTTTAATCTATGTAAAGTATTGAAAAAATATAATTATCAAGTATCTCAACACGTTCCATATCTGACACATATTCTACATGTACACGTAGTGGTATTGCCATACAGTTTATTATGTGTGATGGCTAATATGACTTACTAAGTGTTAGCGTATGGAGACAGTGAAAGTGGGAAAGAGAGAATACATAAATTTATATGCATGGTCTAGAAAAAAAGTTTGGCCAAAGACATTGAGCTGTACAATTTAATAAAATAATTCACAAACGTTTCTCTTTTTTATGCGCGTGTAGTTGGTCATTGTAAAAACATTTGAAAAAGGATATTCGTCTCGTGAATATTCCTGATTACAGAAAGGTTTGTCCCATGGTTGAGGGAAGGTGTTTAGCCCCGTAACATCTGTACCGGTCACATTCAGGTACTAAATTCAATATATATTTATATATATCTACTTTATGTTTATGCCTATTATCATTATTGACATTTAATTGTAAATGTATGACGGGAGAAGGCTGTGATAAATTATAAAAACTTGTGCCCTATCCCTTGTTCAATTATATTGGCAAAAAATATATTTGAAGCTAAATAAATTTAAATCCTGAATATTGGCAAGTGTGCAATTAACTTCTGATGATGAATAATTACTGTTCAATAAGTTTGAATACAGACTTAGAAATCATATTACTTGGTTTCATAGCGCGGTAAGAAGTTGTTGTTGCCTTACAGCCCCTCCCAATGATCCTTACTTATGCATACGGTAAACCTTCGGTCAGTTCAAACAAAATCAAATAAATATTGATGAACCTGTTCAGATTATACGAAATTATGCTTCAGAAAATAAGCGTGAGTTCGAACTATCGGCAAAATATTCGGCAAAGTGTAAATCAAGTCACAAACATATACCCGACATATTTATAAATGGGTGAAATGATAGTATATTATTTCATTCGATGTTAATTGATCATTAATTTTCTTCATTTCGAGATAATTATGATCGTTATTGCGAAGCAGAGGCCATTGTGTGCAGGCCCCAAAACAGTACACGATTCATTTGTGACACAAAAGTTAGACTACCTAGTTTGTATCAGATACCTAAATATGGAATCTCTGCGTGGTTAGGTTTTATTTGAATCAGAAACTATTTTATATATTATTTCGTAATGAATGGTCCGTTTAATAAATTGAAAACATAGTCTACATAACCTGTTGCGTTAACAAAGCGCAACTGTAAATATAGGTCTATATGTTAGTAAAATTAGGCCAGAACATCAACATGTCTGCTTTAAATTATAAGTGATATAGTCCTAATACCTACCAAACTTATTTGACACCTTCAAAATTACCCATCGCTAATTGGGACACCTGTGGATTTTGGAACTGGACATGAATGCTAATCACGTCACTCACAATGGCTGGGCGGCCGATCCCTACCGCGACATATCGCGTGTCCTGCCCTACCTGGTGTGAGCTGGGCAATAATTAAGGGATGTCTGGTGGCAATTAAATAATCAAAATGCTTAGTTAACACTGTATTTGACAATACACGGGCGATTTCTTAGTTTGCCATACAGCGTGACATCAGTTCGTACTGATCGCATGTTATTTATACATTGTCGGGGCCTAAGTTGCAATTGGCTGTCTCATGCACGATGTATTTTTCAAACAATGTAAAAAATGAATCAACGCTAAAACCTGTGACATATATTTATGGTTTGTTTGTCACAACTGTAATGCAATGCTCACACATACATCCCATTACACTAAACGTGTCTGTTGATCAAAGTATTGGCATTTTTCCGGGGCCGATCGCCGCGAGCTTTCAATGGAGTTTGCCGAAAAAAAATCGTTCTTCATTTGACAAGTTTGGACTATCCGAATTAGGGTCAATCAGAGTTTGAACTATCACTAGCTAGAAAATTATTTTTTTCATTGAAAAAAATATGTGTTCGAACTATGAGCCGATTCGAACTGACCGGAGGTTTACCGTATTGATCTTTGGGACGGGTAGAAAAAATCAGGCTGGCCACTTGAATTGTGACAAATCAATTTTGTTATTACTATTTTATGTGTATGTACCCCTGGCCCTAATGAGAATTCATCTGTCATTGACAGTAAGAATTAAATTTTGTAGCATTTTGCATGTATACAAATACCATATACTTGTCATAGTGGCAGATAATATGACATTACAAGGTTAAGTTGATGTACACGGTTCCCATTACGATATCTAACATGGGACTGGGTAATAGTACATGTAAAGAAAATGAAGAGCAAAGAAGACAAACGATCATCTTCTGCAGATCTGACAAAGATCCTTCTAGGATCTTGTTATAAATCAATCACCAGTTTTGACATGTTCTGCCATTGTATATACTTACAGATGATGTCACTGCTGTTAAAGACAAGCTAGATGTCCTGGCAACAAACACCAGTCGCAAGAAAGGTACTGACGATAGTTGTTATAATTATGTGTATGCTATATCAGACATGTCTGTCCATAGTTAATATCAGTATATAGTCATATGATAACGTAGTGCACCAGCAGTAAGGGGATGCATTGCAAACTATCTGGATTTATTGAGAATGTGTTATTGTCTCCTCTTTCAAAGGAGAGTCAATCAACATTTTTCAGTCGAAAGTTTTATTAGCACATGAGCTTATGTTATGAAGCGGCGTCCATCGGTCAACTTTTCCCTTTAAATGCCACTAGTCCAGAACAGCCCAGTAGATTTCACTAAATTAATAAGTTCCAGAGCATCCTTAGGCCAAGGGGCCTTAATTTTGTATAAATGGTGGGTGTGCCCCCCGGGATGCAGAGGAACAGGGACCAAAAGGGGAATTAATGTTAAACATTTAAAATCCTTCTTCTACCATAGGGATTAAGGGATTTCATCCCAATTTGATCTGGAACATCCTTGGGCCAAGGGGACTCAATTTTGTATAAATGGTGGGTTTGGACCCACTAGGGGCAGAGCCGAATAGGGGAAATAGAGGTAAAACCTTTGAAATCCTTCTTCTATCATAGAGATAAAGGGATTATATCCCAATTTGGTCTTGAGCATCCTTGGGGCAAAAGGATTCTATGTTGTATCATTGTTGGGTGTGGCTACCCTGGGGACAGAGGGGTGGGGCCCTTTTGTTTCTAGTTGCAAAAATTTCATTTTGAAATTGATCAGAAAAACAAGATGGCCGCCATCTTTAATTTTGACATTTGAAGTTTGAAATACTGGATGGATTTTTCAGAAGTTTCATATGTACATCTTTACTTCATATCAATGACTTTTAAACATATCCAGGTGAGTGATACATGTCCTCTGGGCCTCTTGTTATTTATTAGTCCCCTACTGGTGAAACCGGGGGGGACTATAGGTTTTGTCTGAGTCCGTCCTTCACCAAAATCTGCAGGTTAAAGTTTGGGTTAAAGTTTTGTAATGGCTTACCATTCGCTTAATAATGATGTTAGGATGCTGATTCTTAGCATAGAGGTTCTTTAGGGGTCTAGCATTAATGCTGTGGATTGAAAATGGAAAATAATTTTATTTTTTGGGGGAATTTTTGACATGTTTTGGACTTAACTATCCTGGCCAAAATCTTCAGGTTAAAGTTTGGGTTAAAGTTTTGTAATGGCTTACCATTCGCTTAATAATGATGTTAGGATGCTGATTCTTAGCATAGAGGTTCTTTAGGGGTCTATCATTAATGCTGTGGATTGAAAATGGAAAATAATGTTATTTTTGGGGGAAAATTTTGACATGTTTTGGACTTCACTATCTTGGCCAACATCTGCAGGTTAAAGTTTGGGTTAAAGTTTTGTAATGGCTCACCGTTCACTTAATAATATTGTTAGGATGCTGATTTTATGGACAGAGGTTCTTTAGGGGTCTAACATTAATGTTGTTTAGTGAAAGTGAATAAATAATTCCTTTTTTTTATTTTTGACATGATTTGGACTTAACTATCTTGGCCAAAATCTGAAGGTTAAAGTTTGGGGGGCCGGTAGGGGACATGTATTGATTCATCAATACCCACAGAATGCTTGTTCATACAGTCAATACCCAACTCCCCAGGATCACTTATAAGGTCACCTGAGATTAAGTCTCGGTTGACCTATTGCGATCGTCTTTTGTCCAGCTTCGTCTATCCATAAACAATTTACATTTTTGACTTCTTGTCCAAAACCAATAAACTAGTTTCAATGGATCCATGATCAAAGACAAACAAAAAGTGAAATCATATGTATCTTAGCCCCTAGGAGTCAAATTGGCAAAAAAAAATCAACAATCTTCTTCTTCAGACCCAGATATGCTGGAATCAAAAGATACTTTATCAAACGTTTGAATTTCATCACTCCAAGGTCACCGATTCCCATCCGGGAAGAGGGTAAAATTTAATATAGTTTATTAGCTAACCTGGCCTGAAGGGGCATAGGGGTGGGGCTCTGTTTGAGGTTTGTTCTCGCTATATCTCAAGTACTGGACGGTACTTACAGCACCCAACATGGAGTGCTATAACTTTACTTCATACCAATTATTTTAAACATATTAAGGTGAGCGATACAGGCCCTCTGGGCCTCTTGTATTATGAACATGTGAGCTTATGCCATGGCGCAGCGTCCGGTGTCCGGCGTCCGGCAACTTTTTCCTTTAAAACGCTAATAGTCCTTAACTGCATAGATGATTTTGACCAAATTTGGTCTGGAACATCATTGGCCAAAGGGTTCTCAGTTTTGTATTAACGGAGGGTATGGTCCCCTGGGGGCAGAGACGTGGGGCCAAATAGAGGAAAAATAGGTGAATCTTTAAAAATCTTCTTCTTCTCAACCAATAGAAGGACTTTGACCAAATTTGTTCTAGAGCATCTTTGGACAAAGGAGCCTCAATAAACAGAGGGTGTGGCCCCCCTGAGGGCAGAGGGGCAGGGACCAATAGGGGAAATAGAGGAAATTTTTTCTCCTACTATACAAGCCAAGGGATTTAAACCAAATGCAGTCTGAACCATGCTTAGGTCCAAAAGAATCAATTTTGTATAAACTGAGGTGTGTGGGTTCCCCTTCTTTGTTGCAGATAGGTGGGGGCCCATTAGGGGAAATAGAGGAAAACATTAAAGATCCTTCTCCTTCTGTACTATTGAAGGGATTTTAACCAAACTTGTTCTAGAGAATCTTCGGGCAAAGGGAATTTAATATTTATAAATGGAAGATGTGCCCCCCCACCAGGGGCAGAGGAGTGGGGTCCAAAAGGGGAAATAGAGAAAAATATTTTCCCTTCTGTACAAATGAAGGGATTTAAACCAAATGTGGTCTGAACATGCTTGGGGGAAAAAAACTCACTTTGTATAATATGTATAAAAAGGTGCATGTGAGGCCCAAAAGGGGAAATAGAGGAAAATTGGGACATAACACAGAAACTCATTTTCTTGGTGTCTTTCCTACCAAAACAGATTTATATGTAGTTCTTCTTGCAACTTTGTTTATTGTACTCCTTTGATAAACCTGTATGGTACTCAGCAGGTTTTAAATTGAAAAATAAAATACCAGGTGAGCTATTAAGGCCCCTGGGCCTCTTGTTACTTCTATTTTTTCTGAAAGTGGCCAGCTATATATACCATACATGTTAGTCACTCCCAAACATCATTTTGTCAAGGAAACCACTGTCAAATAGGCACATTTGGATAATATATACTTTTGTTATTGTCACATCACAACAACAAATAACAAGTGACCATTAAGGCCCATGGACCTTTTGTATTGATATTGAATTGAAAAGGAAATGATCTTTTGTATAGGGTGGTGACATTTTTCTGCCAGCAACTTACCACAAGTTTACCAGACACCTTAAGGCTTTGTTGACATAATCTGAGAAGATGTCAATATAACCTATGAATATGTCGCAATAATGTTAAAAAAATATTGACATATTTTTAGGCACTCATCACATGATGGTGGGTTATTCAAATTGCCCTTCCTCCGTGGTCCGTTGTCTGACATTCGTCCTTGCACAATTCTTATCATCCGTCCTTAAACAACTCTATTTCTCAGAAAGTACCGGAGGGATCTTTCTCAAATTTTATATGCAGGTTCCCCTTGGTTCCTAGTTGTCGATGTTTTCTTTTGAGACTGAATCTTGGCGGCCATCTTGGATATTGACAGTGAATGTTTGTTATCGTTATTTCTCAGGAAGTACATGAGGGATCTTTCTTAAATTAAATATGTAGGTTCCCCATGGACTGTACTTGTGCAAGTTTACTTTTGAGACTGATCACAGATAAACAAAATGGCTGACAGACAGCCATCTTGGATTTTGACAGTGAATGTTTGTTACCGCTATTTCTCAGGAAGTACTCAAATTTGATATGAAAGTTCCCCTTGGTCCCCTTAGTTGTGTATGTAAGAGAAAAGATTGAACTGACGATAGACTAATGAAGATGGTATAATGGTGGGCGCCAACATCCCTCTCTTGTTACATTTTCTGAAAAGAAATTTTGCTGAGATAATTATCACGAAAGTAGGAAGCTTTTTATTATTTTAATGCTCTGCAGATGTGACATTAACTTGAAACTAATCTATGCAAAATAAAACAAGAGAAGTTTACCAATCATTTTCCTAGAAATTATAATATGATGTATCGGGGGTACCAATAGCTTATGATAATTAGGTTTATGCATGATTAAGCCTATTTTTAGCTCACCTGGTCCGAAGGACCAAGGTGAGCTTATGCCATACCGCAGCGTCCTGCGTCCGTCGTCTGTCGTCCGTCAACTTTACACTACCAGTCATGAACCACTGAGCGGATTTTAACAAAATTTGGTGTGGATCATCCTTGGGTGAAGAAGAACCGATTTTGTATAAATGGTTGGTCTGGCCCCCCAGGGGCCTGAGGGGCGGGGCCAAATAGGGGAAATATAGCAAATTATTCTTTAAAATCCTTCTTTGTCTGTAGGAATGAAAGGATTTGGTCCATATTTGGTCAAAAGCATCCTAGGGTGAAGAAGCACAAATTTTGTATAAATGGTGGGTCTGGCCCCCCATGGGGCTGAGGGGCAGGGCCCAATAGGGGAAATATAGCAAATTATTCTTTAAAATCCTTCTTTGTCTGTAGGAATGAAAGGATTTGGTCCATATTTGGTCAAAAGCATCCTAGGGTGAAGAAGCACCAATTTTGTATAAATGGTGGGTCTGGCCCCCCATGCGGCTGAGGGGCAGGGCCCAATAGGGGAAATATAGCAAATTATTCTTTAAAATCCTTCTTCTTCTGTAGGAATGAAAGAATTTGGTCCATATTTGGTCAGAAGCATCTTTGGGGGAAGGGGAACAAAGTTTGTATAAATGGTGGGTCTGGCCCCCCTGGGGGCTGAGGGGCGGGGCCCAATAGGGGAAATTTGGCAAATTCTTTAAAATCTTTCTTCTGTAGGAATGAAAGGATTTGTTCCATATTTGGTCAAAAGCATCCTTGGATGAAGAAGAACCAATTTTGTATAAATGGTGGGTCTGGTCCCCCAGGTGCCTGAGGGGCGGGGCCAAATAGGGGAAATATAGCAAATTATTCTTTAAAGTCCGTCATCTTCTGTAGGAATGAAAGGATTTGGTCCATATTTGGTCAGAAGCATCCTTGGGGGAAGGGGAACAAAGTTTGTATAAATGGTGGGTCTGGCCCCCCTGGGGGCTGAGGGGCGGGGCCCAATAGGGGAAATATAGCAAATTCTTTAAAATCCTTCTTCTTCTGTAGGAATGAAAGGATTTGGTCCGTATTTGGTCAAAAGCATCCTTGGGGGAAGGGGAACAAAGTTTGTATAAATGGTGGGTCTGGCCCCCCTGGGGGCTGAGGGGCGGGGCCCAATAGGGGAAATATAGCAAATTCTTTAAAATCCTTCTTCTTCTGTAGGAATGAAAGGATTTGGTCCATATTTGGTCAAAAGCATTCTTGGGTGAAGAAGAACCAATTTTGTATAAATGGTGGGTCTGGCCCCCCATTGGGCTGAGGGGCAGGGCCCAATAGAGGAAATATAGCAAATTATTCTTTAAAATCCTTCTTCTTCTGTAGGAATGAAAGGATTTGGTCCATATTTGGTGTGAAGCATCCTTGGGTGAAGGGGAACCAATTTTGTATAAACCGTGGGTCTGGCCCCCCAGGGGCCTGAGGGGCGGGCCCAATAGGGGAAACATAGCAAATTATTCTTTAAAATCCTTCTTCTTCTGTAGGAATGAAAGGATTTGGTCCATATTTGGTCAAACATCCTGCGGCGAAGGGGAAGAAAGTTTGTATAAATGATGGGTCTGGCCCCCCTGGGGGCCTAGGGGCAGGGCCCAATAGGGGAAATATAGCAAATTCTTTAAAATCCTTCTTCTTCTGTAGGAATGAAAGGATTTGTTCCATATTTGGTCAGAAGCATTCTTGGGTGAAGGGGAACCAATTTTGTATACACCGTGGATCTGGCCCCCCTGGGGGCTGAGGGGTGGGGCTCAATAGGGGAAACATAGCAAATTATTCTTTAAAATCCTTCTTCTTCTGTAGGAATGGAAGGATTTGAAGGATTTGTTCCATCTTTGGTCTGAAGCATCCTTGGGTGAAAGGGAACCAATTTTGTATAAACCGTGGATCTGGCCCCCCAGCTGCCTGAGGGGCGGGGCCCAATAGGGGAAATATAGCAAATTATTCTTTAAAATCCTTCTTCTTCTGTAGGAATGGAGGGATTTGTTCCATGTTTGGTCTGAAGCATCCTTTGGTGAAACGAAACCAATTTTGTATACACCGTGGATCTCGCCCCCCAGGTGCCTGAGGGGCGGGGCCCAATAGGGGAAATATAGCAAATTATTCTTTAAAATCCTCCTTCTTCTGTAGGAATGAAAGGATTTGGTCCATATTTAGTGTGGAGCATCCTTGGGTAGTCGGGAACCAATTTTGTATACACCATGGATCTGGCCCCCCTGGGGGCTGAGGGGCGGGGCTCAATAGGGGAAACATAGCAAATTATTCTTTAAAATCCTTCTTCTTCTGTAGGAATGAAAGGATTATAGGGGAAATATAGCAAATTATTCTTTAAAATCCTTCTTCTTCTGTAGGAATGAAAGGATTTGTTCCATATTTGGTCAGAAGCAGTCTTGGGTGAAGGGGTACCAATTTTGTATACACCGTGGATCTGGCCCCCCTGGGGGCTGAGGGGCGGGGCTCAATAGGGGAAACATAGCAAATTATTCTTTAAAATCCTTCTTCTTCTGTAGGAATAAAAGGATTTGGTCCATAGGAAATATAGCAAATTCTTTAAAATCCTTCTTCTTCTGTAGGAATGAAAGGATTTGTTCCATATTTGGTCAGAAGCATCCTTGGGGGAAGGGGAACCAATTTTGTATAAATGGTGGGTCTGGCCCCCCTGGGGGCTGAGGGGCAGGGCCCAATAGGGGAAATATAGCAAATTATTCTTTAAAAATCTCCTTCTTTTGTAGGAATGAAAGGATTTGGTCCATATTTGGTCAAAAGCATTGTTGGGTGAAGAAGAACAAATTTTGTATAAATGGTGGGTCTGGCCCCCCTGGGGGCTGAGAGGCAGGGCCCAATAGGGGAAATATAGCAAATTATTCTTTAAAAATCTCCTTCTTTTGTAGGAATGAAAGGATTTGGTCCATATTTAGTGTGGAGCATCCTTGGGTAGTCGGGAACCAATTTTGTATAAACCATGGGTCTGGCTCACCAGGGGCCTGAGGGGCGGGGCCCAATAGTGGAAACATAGCAAATTATTCTTTAAAATCCTTCTTCTTCTGTAGGAATGAAAGGATTTGTTCCATATTTGGTCAGAAGCAGTCTTGGGTGAAGGGGTACCAATTTTGTATACACCGTGGATCTGGCCCCCCTGGGGGCTGAGGGGCGGGGCCCAATAGGGGAAATATAGCAAATTCTTTAAAATCCTTCTTCTTCTGTAGGAATGAAAGGATTTGGTCCATATTTAGTGTGGAAAAGTCCGTCATCTTCTGTAGGAATGAAAGGATTTGGTCCATATTTGGTCAGAAGCATCTTTGGGGGAAGGGGAACAAAGTTTGTATAAATGGTGGGTCTGGCCACCCTGGGGGCTGAGGGGCAGGGCCCAATAGGGGAAATATAGCAAATTCTTTAAAATCCTTCTTCTTCTGTAGGAATAAAAGGATTTGGTCCATAGGAAATATAGCAAATTCTTTAAAATCCTTCTTCTTCTGTAGGAATGAAAGGATTATAGGGGAAATATAGCAAATTATTCTTTAAAAATCTCCTTCTTTTGTAGGAATGAAAGGATTTGGTCCATATTTAGTGTGGAAAAGTCCGTCATCTTCTGTAGGAATGAAAGGATTTGGTCCATATTTAGTGTGGAAAAGTCCGTCATCTTCTGTAGGAATGAAAGGATTTGGTCCATATTTAGTGTGGAGCATCCTTGGGTAGTCGGGAACCAATTTTGTATAAACCATGGGTCTGGCTCACCAGGGGCCTGAGGGGCGGGGCCCAATAGGGGAAACATAGCAAATTATTCTTTAAAATCCTTCTTCTTCTGTAGGAATAAAAGGATTTGGTCCATATTTGGTGTAGTTCCATATTTGGTCAGAAGCATTCTTGGGTGAAGGGGAACCAATTTTGTATAAACGGTGTGTCTGACCCCGCTGTAGGCAGAGAGGTGGGGCCCAATAGGGAAAATAGAGGTGAAACATTTAAAATCCTTCTTCTACCATAGGGATTAAGGGATTTCATCCTAATTTAGTCTGGAGCATCCTTGGGTGACGTCGACTCAATTTTATATAATTGGTGGGTATGACCCCCGTAGGGGCATAGGGGTGAGGCTCTGTTTGAAGTTTGTTATCGCTATATCTCAAGTACTGGATGGATCTTTCTGAAATTTCATATGTGCTAACAGCACCTACCATGGAGTGCTATATCTTTACTTCATACCAATTACTTTAATTATATTCAGGTGAGCTAGAGTTATCATGTGGCAAGTCAATGTCACACCCAAGCATTAACATGATAAATAGTCGAGTTGCTGACTAACAAGATTAATATCTCGGCAAAGATTGCAGTCATATGTCAATATAATTCGTTAATTTTGTCCACGAAAACTGAGAATATGTCACCATCCTCTCGGATCATGTTGACATAATTTAGAGAATATGTCAACATACGTAAATCATAGAAATAGAAAGTCAATGGCAAAAATATGTCATCCTCAAATTATAAAGTGTTGACAAGTCGGATCAATATAATATAAATATTAATGTCAGATCAATATAATATAAATATTAATGTCAGATCAATATAATATAAATATTAACGTCGGATATTAATGTCGGATCTATATAATATAAATATTAATGTCAGATCAATATAATATAAATATTAATGTCAGATAAATATAATATAAATATTAATGTCAGATCAATATAATATAAATATTAATGTCAGATAAATATAATATAAATATTAATGTCATAAATATAATATAAATATTAATGTTGGATCAATATAATATAAATATTAATGTCAGATCAGTATAATATAAATATTAATGTCGGATATTAATGTTGGATCAATATAATGTAAATATTAATGTCGGAACAATGTAATATAAACATTAATGTCGGATTAATATAATATAAATATTAATGAACTATTACGATTAACGGTTTTGCCGCAGAGATTTCAGATAAACCTCACTGTAAGATAGTAAATAATTTTTGCAATAAATTGTTAAGTTTATATTTTAATTGTGCTGTACCCTATATCATGTGGGTGTCTTTATTTTTCAGAGCTATCACCAAAGATAGAGGCCATGATAGGTGAGTTTTATAGCCAGAGTGTACATCGCGAGAGGGGAAACGTTGCAGATGATAGGTGAGTTTTATCAGCCAAAGATAGAGGCCATGATAGGTGAGTTTTAAAGCCAGAGTGTACATCGCGATAGGGGAAATGTTGCAGATAATAGGTGAGATTTATAGCCAGAGTGTACATCGCGATAGGGGAAATGTTGCAGATGTTAGGTGCGTTTTATAGCCAGAGTGTGCATCGCGAGAGGGGAAACATTGCAGATGATAGGTGAGTTTTAAAGCCAGAGTGTACATCGCGAGAGGAGAAATGTTGCAGATGATAGGGGAGTTTTATAGCCAGAGTGTGCATCGCGAGAGGGGAAATGTTGCACATGATAGGTGAGTTTTATAGCCAGAGTGTGCATCGCGAGAGGGGAAACGTTGCAGATGATAGGCGAGTTTTATAGGCAGAGTGTACATAACGAGAGGAGAAATGTTGCAGATGATAGGGGAGTTTTATAGCCAGAGTGTTCATCGCGAGAGGCGTAATGTTGCAGATAATAGCTGAGTTTTATAGCCAGAGTGTGCATCGCGAGAGGGGAAATGTTGCAGATGTTAGGTGCGTTTTATAGCCAGAGTGTGCATCGCGAGAGGGGAAACGTTGCAGATGATAGGTGAGCTTTATAGCCAGAGTGTACATCGCGATAGGGGAAATGTTGCAGATAATAGGTGAGATTTATAGCCAGAGTGTACATCGCGAGAGGGTAAATGTTGCAGATGATAGGGGAGTTTTATAGCCAGAGTGTGCATCGCGAGAGGGGAAACGTTGCAGATGATAGGTGAGTTTTATAGCCAGAGTGTACATCGCGAGAGGAGAAATGTTGCAGATATCTTTAACGATGATCACCCCGCCAGAATAACATGCACCATTTATACTAATTCAGTTTTATGCTATCAGCTTAATTGTTCACCTCCTATTATGAAATGACTCATACTGGAAAAAATAACCGTATTGAATTGTTAAATAGTTAAGTATTGCAAAACATTGATAACACTGCTGAACCAGCCCTGCTTTGATAAAATAAATTGTGGTACTTTGTAACTTGTTCAAAATTCTCCCTTTTACAGTCGTATCATTTCTCGCTTCATAGTTTCTAATTGTTCATACAGAAACAACTCAAGCCATGATCAAAGAAGAAAACAAGAAGAGGTTCATTGTCACCAAAGGTTTCTGTGATGCTAAAGAAAAGCTCCAAAAGAACAGGATCGTTGTAATTAAAGGTAACACTGGCGATGGAAAGACAGCGACAGCTATTCAACACCTTCACTGGCTGAGTTATGAGCAAGAAGGGAGACAACCCCTGCAGCTCAACAATATGGAGGACTTTGATTTGCTAGCTCCAAATTCACAATTTGTTGTTTTTGTTGATGATATATTTGGGGAGAAAGTTTTGCATGAAAAGGAAGTAGGGGAGTGGAACAAAAGGATCAACTCTGTAATTCCAAAACTGTGTGGGGATGAAAAATCTCAGGCCAATTTTCTAGTCATAACGGTTCGTAATGAAGTATTTAATTCTTTAAAAGAGCATTCTTTGGGAACAGTTTTTGCTGATCTAAACATTATTGATCTGAGTTCTAACACATACACAATTGCAACAGAAAAGATGGATCTTTTAGATCTGTATGAGCCTAAAAATGGTAAATTTAAATGGACAAGGGAGGAAAAAGAAGTAATTATATTTTGTGCCCCAGACATTGGATTCCCACAATGTTGTTGTTTATTCAGAGAATTTCCTGAATTACAGAAAGAAAGAGTCAATTTTTTTAACAAACCTCTTAAGTTTTTGAATGAAGCATTGTCAAGATTAGGGGAATGTTCTGCCCTTTTGTTTCTCTTCCTCAGTGGGGGGATTTTACCCATAAAAGATCTAGATCCAAACGGTGATAAGGTCAACAAGACATTGTTAGAGGAAGCATTTGAAACTAATTTCAATAATGGTGAAGATGTGAAAACCACATTAACTTATAAGCAAAAAGTAGGATTTGTAAAGAAAAGTTTAGACACATTATCAGGATTTTTGGTTGTGAAGGGGAAAGATTGGATGTCTGGTGAGGATGTATACAGATTTTATCATGATTCTATATATGTGGCAGTGGCACTTTTGTATGGAAAAATCACACCTATTGGCTACATACAGAATTGTCCCAGCAAATCCCTCAGTTATCTAACAACCTCCACAAACTCTCCAGACGGGATTGTCATATCATGTGATCATTATACATACATGTGTGAACGTGTGCTTAAAGATTTTGAAACTGAGGAAATTGATTACGGTACTAGTATTGGCTCTCTATGTGTATGGAATGATCCTGTTTTTGTTGAAAAATTTGTCAGGTTGTTAAATGACAGAAGAGTTGATCAAACTTCTGTATTGAATAAAGCATATTTATATGGTGCAAAGGACTGTGCTTTACATCTTCTGCGCGAGGGTGTAGAACCTGACAAGGAGACACCATTTTGTGTGGTTATCGGAGGGAGTGTGGAAGTGTCACGTAAACTGCTGCAGTATGGATGTCATTTCAACAGCAAGGAATGATAAAAATTACAATGTCCTGCATGAGGCGTGCAATTGTCAGAGAGAAGAGATGGTGACCATGTTGTCTGAGACTTATCCAAACTTGGTATACAACACTGATATATTCGGATTAAGCTTGCTCAATGCGGCAAGGACAGGAAGTTATTCTATGTTTCTCACATTAGAGAAAACTTTACTTCAATCGATGTGTAAAATTGAGGATAATCAACACAAGTGTGAGTCAGTAGATGGTCGTGTGCATGTGGTACACAGGAGTTGTGTGTGTGCTCAGTACATGGCTCAGTTAGTGGAAATAACGGGGAAGACGGTGTTACATGAGAGTTGTGTGTGGGGAAACAGGGAGGTTTGTCTATATTTATGTCAGTCGTACCCAGCACTAACCGCAGTTGTAGATAAGGACGGCCGTCATTTTCTCCATCATTTAACTTGGTCATTTAGGCCAGATGTACTAGACTGGTTCACTGAGTGTGAAACTCATATAAAACAATACCTAGAATCTACAGGACGTAAGTATGACATCACAGCCATACTTGACAATAAGGGGAGAACAGTGTTACATTACATTTGTGAGAGGGGAAACAGTAAGCTATGTTCATATTTATGTCAGTCATACCCAACACTAACCACAGCTGTAGATAAGGACGGCTGTCACTGTCTACATTACATAGCTTGGTCAGATGTAGACAGGTTCACTGAGTGTGAAACCCATGTAAAACAATACCTAGAATCTACAGGACATAAGTATGACATCACAGCCATACTTGACAATAAGGGGAGAACAGTGTTACATTACAGTGGCGGAAGAGGAAACAGGAAACTTTGTTTATATTTATGTCAGTCATACCCAGCACTTACCACAGTTCTAGATAAGGACAGTGGTCATTGTCTACATTACATGGCTGGGTCAAATAGGTCAGATGTAGACATGTTCACTGAGTGTGAAAATCATGTAAAACAATACCTAGAATCCAAAGGAGATAAGTATGACATTACAACCATACTTGACAATGACAGGAGAACAGTCTTACATTTGAGTTGTTTCGGGGGACAGAGGGAGCTTTGTTCATATTTATGTCGGTCGTACCCAGTACTATCTACAAAACTATAAATGTAGATAAGGATGGCTGTCATTGTCTACATTACATAGCTTGGTCAGAGAAGTCAGATGTAGACATGTTTACTGAGTGTGAAACTCATGTAAAACAATACCTAGAATCCAAAGGAGATAAGTATGACATTACAACCATACTTGACAATGACGGGAGAACAGCCTTACATTTGAATTGTTTGGGGGGACAGAGGGAGCTTTGTTCATATTTATGTCAGTCGTATCCAGCACTAACTTCAGTTGTAGATAAGTATGGCTGTCATTGTCTACATAACATAGCTACGTCAGAAAGGTCAGATGTAGACATGTTTACTGAGTGTGAAACTCATGTAAAACAATACCTAGAATCTACAGGAGGTAAGTATGACATCACAGCCATACTTGACAGTCTGGGAGAATCTGTTTTAGACAAAGCAATTCAGAAATTGGCTGAGGTGAAGGGACACAACCCTCTATATGAATACCTTGTCAGGGTGTTCGGTAAATAAAAGTGCTACGTTTTTATACGCCTGTCAAATTTGATGGGAGTATTATGGTATGGCTGTGTCCGTCCGTCCGGCGTAAAATTTTGTTTGTCCGACATTCCCCTCCTAATAATCATGATATGTTGTTGTGTTTTCTTGAAAAGAATTTTGATTCATCGAAAGACCATGGTGAGCTTATGCCATACCGCAGCGTCTGTCGTCCGTCATCCGTCGTCCGTCCGTCTGTCAACTTTTCCTTTAAAATGCTACTTGTCCTGAACGGCAAAGTAGATTTTGACTAAATTTGGTCTGGAGCATCCTTAGGCCAAGGGGACTCAATTTTGTATAAATGGTGGGTGTGGCCCCCCTGGGGGCAGAGGGGCGGAGCTCAATAGGGGAAATAGAGGTAAAACCTTCGAAATCCTTCTTCTACCGTAGGGATTAAGGGATTTTATCCTAATTTAGTCTGGAGCATCCTTGGGCCAAGGGGACTCAATTTGGTATAAATGGTGGGTATGGCGCTCCTTGGGGCAGATGAGCGGGGCCGAATAGAGGAAATTGGTAAAACCTTCAAAATCCTTCTCCTACCGTAGGGATTAAGGGATTTTATCCTTATTTAGTCTGGACCATCCTTCGGCAAGGGGGACTCAGTTTTGTATGAACCTTGGGTTTGGCCCCCCAAGGGCCTGAGGGGCGGGGCCCAATAGGGGAACATAGCAAATTATTCTTTAAAATCCTTCTTCTTCTGTAGGAATGACAGGATTTTGTCCATATTTGGTGTTGAGCATCCTTGGGTTAAGGGAAACCAATTTCGTATAAACGGTGAGTCTGGCCCCCTTGGGGGCTGATGTGCGGGGCCCTATATGGGAAATATAGCAAATTATTGTTTTAAATCCTTCTTCTGTAGGAATGAAAGGATTTGTTCCATATTTGGTCTGAAGCATCCTTGGGTGAAGGGGAACCAATTTTGTATAAACCGTGGGTCTGGCCCCCCAGGGGCTTGAGGGGCGGGGCCCAATAGTGGAAATATAGCATTTTTTTCTTTATAATCCTTCCTCTTCTGTAGGAATGAAAGGGTTTGGTCCTTATTTAGTCTGGAGCATCCTTGGGCCAAGGGGTCTCAATTTTGTATAAACGGAGGGTATGACCCCCCCCCTAGGGGCATAGGGGTGGGGCTCTGTTTGAAGTTTGTTCTCGCTATATCTCAAGTACTGGATGGGTCTTTCTGAAATTTCATATGTACTTACAGCACCTACCATGGAGTGCTATATCTTTACTTCATACCAATTGATTGTTGGAGAAATTATTTTCATTCCAAGGTCTGTTAGATCAATTTGACCAGGTACCCAAATTTCATCCAATGTCATAGCAAAGTGTCGGTATTTCAACTATTTGAGTTTATAGAAAATCTGGGATGGCCACCATTATCTTAATTTGGTAAATAGAAAGCTTTTAACCTCTTGTCAAGCGGAGAATTAGAATTAGCCTCATTGGCCTGCATATAACAGTGAAATATCTAAGGTCTCATTATGAAAAGAAGTTGTTATTTTTCTAGCGTGAACAATAATCCTTATAGGTTATTGTTTAATGATCATCGTGGAATTCCACATGATATCTCAACAAATTATTATATGTTTGAAATCGTTCCATAAGGAGACAAAGATTGCCATTGATATTTTGGAAGAAAATCATACAATAAATCCCTAACATGTTGAAACGCCCTATATATCCCATGTGTTATTATGTGGACGATTGGTGATGACCAGGTCGCTCCATAGGTTAGAGAGATTGTCTAGACGTCAGTTCCCTCCGGTTCAAATTCTGGTCTGGTTTTCCCATTTTCTACTCCTGCTTCATTTCATTTCAACAAATTCTATTCAAGATGGTATTGAAATGAAAAGGATTGAACAACAGGCTGTGCCTATATCAGTCTCTCCTATTAAAGATGTAGAGATACATTCGTATGCAATGATATTTTTATTTATAGTGTTTTATGGGGATACAAACAGATATCAATGTGAAACTATAGGGGAGATAACTCCATTACTGATTTTAGAAATTACATGTCAGTCTGTGTTGATTCTTTACTTCACCAAGGTAATAGACCAATTATTGTCCATCATCCTTCACTAAGACTTCCCTGGGGGTTTAAGATCCACACAATGTGACCGGTAGTTAATTGAATATTAATTAACAGACATGCAATAACAATAGAACCGGTAAACTTTCGCCCAGTCAAACTATATTGTGCTATACACTGCCTTGTGAAATCTGTTTTTTGCCAAATGTTCATTTTGCCCTTCAGATTTGATTGTTATGTTTTTCATGTTGTTAACTTAAGTTGGTCCTGTTGATAAATTCGCCTTCATTACCCGGTGGTGAAAAAGGCAAAAGTTCAAATCAAACTGTGGGGAAAATCTCCTGGTATACATAAACTGTGTTTGTATTCTTGTAGGGTATTTTATTTTCACATTACAAACTGTATTGTAGTGAAAACATCGCTGTACAATTATATATTAGCTTGTTACTTGTCCATGTTGACTTATTGGGTGAGCAAATCATATTTTGTACTGTGTACATTGGTTAATATTTAATGATATTGATAACTGCCAGATATAGACTCAACATTTTCTATAAAGTACTTTTAACTGGTATAGTCATGTTTATGATATTAATATATTGTAACTAGTTTATTTGTATAAATTCTATTTATATAAACTGTTTTGAGTTTTGAGATAAAGGTTGAAACAGTTTCTAGGATATTCTGATTAGTATCTTGTTCACATTGCTTACAACCATTGATTGAAGTATTATTATGAAGTGTATATTATAGTACACGTTAGTGATTATATTATCACTAAGTTCGGATGCTGAGAGTAATCGTCTGTGATGATTGTATCTGGTATATACAAAAGAATAATATTGACTTGTTTCCTGTTCAAAACCACATTCATATGCAACAGATTCTAATTGATGATTATTATAGAGATACAAATTGAAGTTGCTAGCATTATTTCTAATTTGACATGTAATATTGACTTTTCTTCACCTAAGATTTTTTAGCTCACCTGGTCCGAAGGACCATGGTGAGCTTATGCCATACCACAGCGTCCGTCATCTGTTGTCCATCCGTCAACTTTTCCTTTAAAACGCAACTAGTCCTTAACGGCTGAGTAGATTTTGACTAAATTTGGTCTGGAGCATCTTTAGGCCAAGGAGACTCAATTTTGTATAAACAGTGGGCAGAGGGGTGGTGCCAAACAATGGAAATAAAGGTAAAACCTTTAAAATCTTTCTTTTACCGTAGGGATTAAGGCATTTCATTCTAATTTAGTCTCGAGCATCTTTTGGCCAAGGGGACTTAATTTTGTATAAAAATGGTGGGTGTGGCCCCCCTGGGGGCAGTGGGGTGGGGCAAAATAGGGGAAATATAGGTTAAACCTTTAA